TCAAGAAGTGCAAAATAACAGATAGATTCTAGAGCGAGAAAACCAGCTCGTCTAATGGTAAAATAAATAAATTCTAAAGTGGCACTTATTAAAGTGTCACTTCAGAATTGGAAACCTGTTTCTACGGTTTACCCGTGCAATAGGCGTTTAATTGATTAGCGAGAATTGTCGAAATCTAGCGCACGCAGAGATGCATTAATAATCTCATACTTTTATATTATTCTCTATATATGTAATAAATATCAGTAAATTATTATATTATCAGTAAATTATTACGGCCACATTGGAAATCTTATACGCTGTCACAAAGCGACAAAACGAAATAGACTAGGGCATATTATTATCCGATACAGTAATCAGCGATTCATGAACTTTCGAGTAATAACGAGGTAAACTGATATTTTCAGCTTAATGAAGCGAAACTTTAATGTAATATTCGCGAAACTGAGTTATTAGTTTCAAAAAATAGTTATTTGAAGACTTTCCTCTAACTTATTTATGTTGCTCATTTTGGATTATCAATTCTTGCCGCGTTCCGCAAAAGTGTCTAGCGACAGCCTTCAATGCTCACTTGCAATTTTCAAATCGGATGTGCAGAATCGTTAATCATACATTAGACTCAACTTAATTTTAATGACCTTTGTTCCGGAAGATTGATTATATTTCTCATACGAAGATCATTATCACGCTAAAATTATCACATTAAAAATATAGTAGTCAGGAATACTTTAACGAGTTACGTGAGTATCTGGTAAACAAAATTAAATATCTGGCTTCATTTGTTTTAAACGGAAAGTGTATTTAACTTTGAATTTACGAAGCAGTACGTTATTATTTGTTTGAACGAAACTGCCTCTCTCCTTCAAAGTGTTTTTGACGCGTAGCGCGAAGATGCAAATTTAATGGGACGCATTTAATTATCGCGATCATCCAACTTTGGTAACTCTTCCGTAAACTCTTCGCGAATACAACGATAGCTTTGTATATTCCGTATTCTGTTTGACGAGACGTGATTCTAATGTCTCGAGCCTGTGTACATACTTAACTCTGTAATTCTTCTGATGCCAGTCAACACACAAATATCGGCAAAAACGGGTTACATAAGATCCTTGTTTGTGTGATTACTAGCAAAAGAAGCAGCATTATTGCGAATAATGACCACGAACTTGAAGTTGTCACATTTTAAAATATGTATGTACAATTCCTGCGTACATCATGTGTGTATGTTAATTGAATTATTGATTCAGTAAAAAAACAATGTTTCGCATTTATTGAAGGGATTTTTTTTATAGAAAACTTCACAATTCTATTTTACAATTCTATTTTATATTTTTTGTAAATTTTGAGTTTCAAAAAATTTGATAAATTAATTCAGATGTGATTCAGATCAGGATAAAAAAAAATAAATA